AGGTTTTTTGCGTATACCGCGTCGCCTGGTGTAAATGTTCGGTACCTGCTTGATGAGTCGGTTGGTTTTTCGGGGTTGTATGTGGGGTGTAGCCTATCCAGGGGGGACCTTAGCTTTCTCCCCATTAGGAGTTCTGCGGGGCTTTTGTTGGTCATTGTATTTGGTGTTATGTGTTGGATAAAAAGTATCCTGCATGTCCCCCGTCTCGATTTTTTGAATTGTTTTCTTTGTGAATTGGACCATCCGTTCCGCCCTACCGTTCGCCGCCGGATGAGCCGGCGCTGTCAGGGCATGCCTTATTCCCCATTCCGTTAGGAATTTTTCGAATTCCAGCGCGGTGAACTGTGGTCCGTTATCTGACACAATTACATCCGGGAGGCTGTGGGTCGAGAACAGTCTGTTGAGTTCTCGGATGACGGCCTCGGTGGTGGTGGTTTTCATATCGCTTACCTCCAGCCAATTGGAATAAGCGCCTACCGTTATGAGGAATGTATGTCCTTTTGTGGGTCCGGCGAAGTCTATGTGTATCCTGGACCATGGTCCCCTGGGGGTTTCCCATTCCAGGATTGGGGCGGCAGGTGGGCTTGGCCTGGATTCCTGGCATTGCTTGCAGCTAGCCACCCAGGCTTCAATTTGTTTGTCCATCCCTGGCCACCAAGCGTAGCTTCTGGCCAGGGCTTTTGACCTGACGATGCCCGGATGCCCCTCGTGTAACAAGTCCAAGAACCTTTTTTGTAATTTTTCTGGGATTACCACCCTGTCCCCCCATAGTATACAACCTTTCTGTGTGGAGAGTTCCGTTTGCTTGTTTTTAAAAGTCCTGAATGTTTCGTCGATGTCTTTTTCCAGCCAGTCCTTCTCCGCCCATTGCAATACCCGTGCCAGACGTTTGTCTTTATTTGTTTCGCGGGCAATGTCTGACGCGGTTAGGGGGAGGTTGGGTATGGCCTCGATGCTCAGGGTGGATGTTGTGGGTGCTGGGTCGGCGTCCAGGTCGGGTAGCGGGGTGCGGCTCAAGGCGTCTGCATGTGTGATCGTTTTGCCGGGTCGGTGGGTCAGCCGGTAGCTGTAGGCAGCGAGGAATTCAGACCACCTTGTCATTCTTGGGGATAGAATGTTCGGGGTGGCCTTGTTTCCTGCCAGGATGCCCAACAGCGGTTTGTGGTCTGTGATGATGGTGAATGTTTGGCCGTAGAGGTACTCGTGGAACCTTTTGACGGCAGCGATGATTGCCAGGGCTTCCTTGTCGAGTTGGCTATAGTTCCTCTCTGGCTTCGATAGGGTTCTTGAGTAAAAGGCGATGGGTGCCTCGTTCCCGTTTGGGAGTGTGTGGCTGAGGATCGCCCCGATCCCGAACGTTGACGCATCGCATGTGATGGCTAACGGGAGGGTCTCGTTGTATTGGATGAGGACGGCATCCGATGTGAGTAGGTCCTTGGTTTGGTTGAAGGCAGCTTCCTCTCATTCCCCCCAGGTCCAGGTGGCTGTTTTGTCCAGCAGCCTATGCAATGGTTCCGCCGCGGTCACCTTATGGGGTAGGAAAACATTGTAGAAGTTAATTAGCCCGAGAAATGCCTGCAATTCTGTTTTAGTCCTCGCTCTGGGGGCTTCTTTGATGGCTCTGACTTTGTTTTCGGTTGGGTGAATGCCGTGCCGGTCTAGGAGATATCTTAGGAATTCGACTCTCTCTGTATATAGCTGGCATTTTTCTTTTTTGACTTTTAGCCTGGCTTCTTTAAATTTCGTTAGTACCTCCCTCAGGCGACCCTCCAGTTATTTTTGGTTGGCTGCTGACACCAGTACGTCATCGAAATAGGGTACCACCCCCTTGATTCCTTGCAACAGTCTCTCCATGAGGCTCTGAAAAATCCCTGGGGCTACACTGACTCCAAACTGGAGTCTCTTGCAGCGAATAGCCCCCCGGTGGGTTACTATGGTCTGTGCCTCGCCGGTTTCTGCGTCGACCGGTAATTGTTGTTAGGCTTGCGCCAGGTCGAGTTTCGCGAAAACCTTGCCTCCCCCCAGTCGGAGGTGGAGGTGCTGCACTACTGGGACGGGGTAGGCGTTTTGTTGTAAGGTGCCATTTAGGGTGGCCTTATAGTCCCCACAGATTCTCACCGACCCATCGGGCTTGACTGGGGTGACTATGGGTGTCTCCCACCGGGTGTGATCAGTTGGCTCTAGGACCCCTTGTTTGATGAGCTTGTCTATCTGCTCATCTATCTTGGGCCGGAGTGCGAAAGATACCCGCCGTGGTTTTAGGTGTATCGGGGGAACGCTGGGGTCTAAGTTGAAGGAAATAGGGGGCCCTCGGTACTTGCCTAGGGTGCCGTTGAACACATCCTGGAAGTCCCTTGCGAGTTGCTCCTCCCAGTCTGCCTCTGCGATGTGGTCGATGTCCGTTACTTCGATCCCGAGCGGCGTGAACCACTGTAGTCCCAAAAGGCTGGGTCGGTCTCTGTCCACGACCGTCAGGGGAAGCCTTGCTGTGCGCCCTTTGAAGGTAACCTCAAAGTGTCCTGTTCCGACTACCGGAATGCAGTTCCCTTGGTAGTCTTTTAGGATTAACTTCTGGCTTTCCAGCCCCTTCTTGTGGATTGTGGGCACCAGGCGCTTGATTTCCCGCCATGCAACCATGGAGAGGTAGGACCCGGAGTCCACCTCCATCTTGCATGGCTTGCCCTCGATGCCCACTTCCACGTATACCTTTCGGGCGTCTGTGCTCGATGAATGGCCGATGATGACCGTCTGGTGGGTTTCTTCTCTCTGCCGGTTCTCGCCATTCCTTCGGCCCCGTCCGTCCCGGTTCCAACTACTCTCAGTTTGGCAGTCCCTTGGCCTGGGGGGGGGTGCCGTCTCATCTCCGGTCGCTGTTGTCTCACCGTCGGGGGCTGTAGGCTTTCTTGAGTCAGCAGACTCGGGCGATGTGGCCTCTCTTGTCGCAGTGCCAGCAGATCGCGTCGAAAAACCGGCACTCCGATCGAGGATGGTCGCCTCCGCACCCGGCACATTGGAGTCCCGACTTACGACTCCACCGATCGCGCCGGTCTCGTTCTGTTTGGAGTCGGTGGATGTCCTCCTCGTTGTCTGTTGTGTCGGAGGCGGAGTCGAGGTCGCCATGGTGGGTGGTGGTGGTTGCTCGGCGGCTTGCTTCTGGGTGCGTCTCAGTCGTCGTGGCCGCCTCGGAGGTTGTGGCTCAATCCCCGGTATCAGGTCTTCGCATTCGTGCCGCTGATTTTCGGGTCGCTTCGGCTGCGGTGGCCTCGGCAAGGGCGTCGGCGAGGGAGATGTCGCCCTTGGCCATCAGTTGGCTTTGTAGGACCAGGTCCCTGAGCCCGAGGATGACGCGGTCTCATAGCGCCTCATCCATGTCCGTGAACCCGCACATGCCGCCTAGGTTTCGTAGGTCTGCCACGAAATCGCTGATGCTCTCGCTCGGCTTCTGGTCCCGCCGGTAGAAGTCATGCCGCCTGATGAGGGTGGGCACGGCGGGAGCATAGTGACTTCGGAGCAACGGTTCGAGGTCGGCCCAGTCCTTCGCCTTCACGTCCTCGGGTTTTGCAAGGGCTTTTGCCATCTGAAACACTGCAGGCCCGCAGTGTGTCAGAAAGATGGCCCTTTTCTTCTGCCCGTTTGCGTCCTTGAGGTTGCTACTTTCGAGGAACATCAGGAACCGGTCAATGTACGATTCCCAGTCCTCAGTAGCTTGGTTAAAGGGTGCGGGCGGTGCGATGCTGGCCATCTTGTCAGTCTCGTTCCCTCAGACCACGTGCTCGGTGAGTATCAGTTTTGGGATCCCCCCTTCGTCGCCAGTGTTAAGTCCATCGCAGGGAAAGGAGACTCGGGAGCCAGTGACTTAGTTCAGCTCTTTATTAAGTCCCGATATCAGCTCGGGCTGTAGGAGATCGGCGGCGGCTTTTATTCTTAGTTTCCACCAATCGCGGGGATTCGCGGCGGGCCAATCAGTGTGGCTCGCTTGGCCAATCAGGTCGCCGTGCGCTCTGACCAATCACAGTGCGGTATTTACAAGTATGTTAATGGATCATACAGAACACAACCAATACTTGGTTTCTTAAACACTGAAGAAGAATTTGTCAAGATATGTCAATTGCTGTTAAGTTTGCAATGTTGTATTTAGCAAGGGAATAATATGGCTGTACAGAGAACTATGCAGGGAAAGGACCATGTCCATGAGATATTTTCACTTTCAATGTGGGCCTGCATTGTTGATGTATGAAATAGAGAATGGGTTGTTTGAGGTTTAGAAAAAGAAATGGAAAAATTCACATTTTCTGTATACAATCTCCATGACTATGTATGCATTTATGCTCCTTAAGTTATCCAGCTCCTACTTTAGAGATGAATGTCATCAAAGGTGCATTCATTATGAAAAGGGGAATATGTGATTTGGGTCTCATGTCAGAAGATGATTGAGAAATCTCATAATTGAATCCTGCATAAAGATAACCAAAACCTGACTGAGAACGTTCTGCCTTGAGGGAATGTACTTTCTGCAGAAGTACTTTTTGTCATGAGGAAAAACTTCCTCATTTATGTGGTACCAGTAACCAACCTTTAATTATTGTCTCTTACCAAAAAAAATAATCCAAAAAATATACATTATGAATGCATAGCAATATGTACCCAATTGCATATTTACCGGTATGAAGTTAATGTGCCTTTTAAAATGCAATAAAACTATAAATGTTTGCCAATGTGAGCCAGTTTGGTGTAGTGGTTAAAGCACAGGCTAAAAAGCAGGAGACCAGGAGTTCTAGACCCACCTTAGATATGAAGTCAGCCAATTGTTTTTGGCCAGTCACTGTTAGGAAGGAGGCAAGGGCAAATTACTTCTAAAAAAATATGTGCCAAGAAAAATGCACAAACAAGTTGAGGCAGTTGCAATGAGTCAACTTTGACTCAAACAAACTAAACAAAAAAAAAGTATGCTGATATATTGCTTTAAAGAGAAGATTCATGGAGAGATAATGCTTTAGTTTTTTTTATTGATAAGTCAGATTAGGACATTTAATAGAGCAATAGTGCAGAAGAAGAGGGAAGAACAGATATTTTCATGGGGTTGTTTATGAACAAGGTGTCAAGATTGTGGGATACACTCTCATGAATGTTCTTTAATCTTCTGCATCTTCAAATTTCACACATTTTCCAAGATATCTCAGCCGAAGTTTTCTACCACTTTTACTGATGGGAAAACAGAACCAAAAATTAAAAATAAGAACCACAGGAAGTGCATCTACCATCAGGGCCCAGCCAAGAAAAAAGACTAGAATAATTAGCAGTATTATTTGCGATCTCCTGAAACTGGCAAGTTGGCTATTGTTCACCCTCCCCTTCAAATTAGTAAAACTGACATAATCTATCTGGGACAGACAATGTTTTCTGAGAGAATTTTAAAGAAGGATCAATGTTCATATTTATTTTATTAAAACCTAAAAATCCAGGGTTGCTTATACAAATACTATATTTTCCAACTGTATGGAATGAACCGTATACTTACATATATGCATTGCAGAAGAGACATTTGTTGCTATAGGTTTTTCCATCAGAGCCACAGTGGGCTCGATACTCCAGGGTGCAGATTTTGCTTGGGTAGTTCTTACAATACTCCTATGGGAAGAAGCAAATGATTCATTTCATTGGACTACCCTGTTAAGACCAATGATAAGTTGAATAACGTGAGCTAAACTGATTATCTCTTATCTTGTCAAGTTGTAATTCAGCAGAGTTCACTTCTGCCTTCATGCATCAGCAATGCTGGAAAATGGATCTGTGGTTTTTAGGAATTATAATCTTACAGTCTTTATATTGCTATGCAGATAAATTCTGCATGTTTTTCAACCTCCCTCCCAACATTAAATACATATAGACATAAGATACATTGAAAGAAAAAGCTCCACAACAGTAATATAAAACATTGTTTAGTTTGCTGTGGTTTTGGTTTTATGGTGTATATGTTTTTAATTGCATGCTGTGCCCCTAAAGGGCTTAAGAGGGTAAGCAGGTTGGGAGAGGGAGTGGATAAAAGTAGGAGACCTGGCCTGATATATGTTCCAAATCTTATTGTATCTAAGGATACAATATGTTGGAATAAAGGATGTGTTGGTAAGGAGGGAGAGGCATGAGGTTATTATGTATCCACATTTCTGGGTTAAAATCTGGTACTCACCTTTAAATTGATTTTTTGGGCAGCAATGTCTGTAAAACAAAACATACAAATGAAAACATATGAAACATCTCCATGTTTATCTCCTATTTTTTATTTATTATTTACTTGTGTTTGTATGTGCCCTTCTCCTTCCCTCCAATTAAACTCCTTGAGCAGTTAAATAAAGATAATAAAAACACAAAAATCCAGTTAAAAACTAAATGTATAGTACTAATAAAGTGGACAGGAATATTGTTAGGGAGTTCAATATTGTTGATTTCTGCAGGAATTCTGCTTATTTACACTTGAAAGGATCACTTTATTCCAACTATTGGGAATGCTGAGCACTGGTGCATCCACTCCCCAAATGGAAGGTGATCTTGTGATCCCTTACTTGTCTAAAACTAAATAAAAATAATAAATAAAATCAATGTAATGGGCTCACTTCCTCACAATGCCTAATCAGCTGGTATTGACCCTTGAATTTTAGGACAGCTATATCTAGAATTAAAACATACTAAATTATTGAAATAGGTCCATATTATCTCCTATATTTTAAAAAATGTAATGGATGCTTGTATGTGCCCTGTCCTTTTGCTGCCTCCCTGAAATTAAAATTCTTAACCAGCTGAGCAACAGCTGAATAAGCTTCCAGTAAAATAGCCAATTCTGCATCAATAACCTACATTTTTTATTTGCTCCTTGTGCCGATTCCTCTGACCAAGAATTATTTCCCACTGAACCAGCCTTGGAGATATCTGTGGATTATTGTCTCTTTTTTCCCTGGGGATAAAGGGGTTCTAAATCGGTCAAAAAAGGAAAGGTTGGATTAGTAAGCAGAACTTACTGGAGTAAAAAAAGAAAAGTAGCAGAGTGAACAGCAGAAAGCTTCCTGGCTTCATGATTCCTCACTGAACTTGGTTGAGGTAGGACTCTTTGGAGCAGCTGATGCTGAAGGTGAGGCCTCAAATGTTTCCGCATCCAGGCTATATATGCATACCCTGACTACTTTGGTGATGAAATCTCTCCCTTCCGGATGCAATTGGGTGTGGAATTGGCTGTTTCTGAAGTCTGTGGCCAGCTGATCAGTTTGCAAACTTCCTTTCACACAATTGACCCAGGATTCAAGTAGTGTATGGCAACAAGATGTAGTAGAGTAGTAGCAGTTATAAATTATCTTGATTAGGACCACTCAGGTCGTTTTATTGTCTTGGGAACCAATTCTTAGAATCCAAAGTTACCCTTCCATGTTCTTTTCCTTTTAGAACCCCCAATCCCTCTGTCCGTTCCCATGTGGAGACTGGCTTTAACCAAAGATATAAACAATATGTGACAAGTCTCTAATATTCTCTGTAAAAAAATGTATTGGTTGGCCTAGATAATGTTTATAAGGTGCTTGGATGATTTCTGAGTTGCTGTTGACAATGATTTTGTGGCCAAATCTTGGGCCTCTCACTTTGGGGGTCTCCAAATCCTCTCTTATAGTTCTAAAGGGGAGGCTTTTAGACAGTCCTAGGACTGGTATTCCTGAAAGATCCAATTGTACGATGAAGTCCAAAGGAATAATCCTTTATCATTAGGATCAGAGGTGGTATTCAGCAGGTTCTGACCAGTTCTGTAGAACCGGTAGCGGAAATTTTGAGTAGTTTGAAGATTTGGCAAATATCACCTCTGACTGGCCCTGCCCCCATCTATTCTCTGTCTCCCGAGTCCCAGCTGATGAGCTGGGTTTTCTTTTGTTGCCCTGTACAGGAGAACGGAGCTGGAAAGCAGGTTAGTGGGGTGGGGAGGGAATGGGGATTTTACAGTATCCTTCCCCCAGGAGTGGGAAGGGAATGGGGATTTTACAGTATCCTTCCCCTGCCATGCCCACCAAGCCATACCCATAAAACCAGTGGTAAAAAAAATTTGAATCCCACCACTGATTGTTTCTGAAACTAGATTAGCCCTTCTACAAAGAGATCACTTCTGGTGTTTCTCTAGCCTTGGATCAGTTCCAGATCGCTTCCTTTGCACAGATTGCCATTCCTGCGTGGAAGTCTATCATAAATGAAAAATTTCCAATGAAACAATGTTAGGAATGCCAATATTTCTGAGACACAAACAGATTATCAATTTGAATTTTTCTTAGAAGGCAAAGGTAACATAATTTTCTCTGATTAGAGGACATTATTAGGCTGAATAGAAGAAGGCAGGATGGTTAACAAAAATCCATTTTATTAAAAATAGAATGAATTTGATTAAAATAGTATATTAATATTTGTATGACCTTTGGAATAATGATCATTTGCAAGGATTTTAATCTTGTGGAGTTCTCCTGGACCTCATCAGACCCATTTCTTAGGTGATGGGCCATAGAGCATACCTGTCCTGCTGCACCTGTTGGGATGTGTAACAGGAGGCAGGATTGTGACTGTCCAATAAATAAATAAAGTAAACAGTACATAAATTGAATTTCCTATGTTGATTTCTTGACATTCTGTCTCACAGCCCCAACTCCAGTATGGTATTTTAGTGATGTAATAATGAGGGCCATTTTTCTTCTACCAAAACCCCCAAGTCTTTCATTTCATTCTCTTAAACCTTCCTTTTATTTGACATTATCATCTTGCTTACATTTCTATGCCTCTTCTGAGTTCCTTCTTAACTGTTTTAGAAACACATTGCAAAGAGAACAAAAATAAGCACAGTTGGCAAGCAAGGTGTTAATTGCTGTCTCAGACAAGGAAGTGCAGTATAGTAGGAGGGAAGCCAGATCCTGTATCTCTGGCTGAAAAACTAGCAGCAAGGGTCACTAAGAGCTGGGTGACAAATAAATTTTATAAATTATTAATAGTCTTAATCGCAGGCAAACCATTTAAGATGGCTGATGGGAATCCCACAAAGGAAAATCTGGTTAATGATATTTAATAATAAAAATAGCTCTGCAGTAAATCAGTCCAGAATTGGTTGATGATGTTATCCATTCAGTCATGTCCAATTCTTGGTGATGCTATGGGCCAGGTCTCCCCACATCTTCCAATCTTGTGCTACTTCTTTGAGCTGTTCTATGATATGGCTGGGGTCCATGCTTTGATCGTGTCCAGCTATTGTGTTCTCTGGCAGCCTGATTTCCTTTTACCACTAACTCTTCCTAACATAATTGCCTTCTCCAGTAAATTCCCCCACATGACTCCTTCTTACTTAGATTTATACAAAAACTTCCTATTTATAAACAGGTATTTTGAGGAGTCATGCCATTGTGGTGAGCGGTTATATAAACATGATAATTAGTTAATTGTACAGATTTCATCATCACCCTTTCAGTACCTGCCATATTTTGTGTGCATGTGTGCATGTGTGTGTGTGTGTGTTTAAGGGCATCAGCTTTCCAAAACTTCCAGATTCTTGTATCAAATAATTTTATTGCATTTTACAAAGCATACACAATATACTGTATATAATGTTGTGCAGTTCAGATAATGGCAAGAAATAAAAGGACTAGGAATTAGCTCCTTAGTTATATTTGGAAAAATGGTAGGTCTATTTTTTCTGTAGAGCAGTACCAATAACAATAGCACTTAGACTTAAATACCACTTCATAGTGCTTTACAGGTTTGCCTGCAATACTGCATTCTAACCATTGCATCACCTGGGTTCCAATTATTGTATATTCACAACCCCCTAGATAATAGACTGGATTGAGATCTAAAATAATTAGCTTCGGTTTTGCCCTTTGTAAGTGATCCAGTACTGGTAGTTGCTACTGTGGAGAACTAACCATTTTTTCCAGGTTTTAGTTTCTTGTAAAAGCACATGAACACTTGGTTCTCAATGGTTGCAGCACAATCAAGGTGCACGTTTACCTTGAGCAATTCACTTCCTCTTCTGTAAACTGATATCGTGACCATCCAGAATCTTAATTGTGCAAAAGCATTTCCATTGCATAAATGTAATTCTTCTCTTGTCTTAAGTGCTTCTTCAGCTAAAATACCATGCAATCCATCAGGGTTTTTAAATGTTCTTCAGTTCATAATAAAAAGTTAGCAGTTCAGTTCTCTCATCTCGCACATGATTCATTAGTCTGGTAGGTGAAAATAATAGATTTGGATCTGTTAGGAGATTCAGGAATAAACAGCAGTTCACATCAACTCCCAGAATTTTAATATAAGCAGCAACAAATTCAAAGTTTTCAGTGATTTTGTGGAATAGGTCATAAACTCCTTTCATTTCTTTTGATGTTCAAAGCAAATTCTTTCATATTAAAGATTCCTGTTCTTATTGTATCTGTTTGTGGTACTAAATTCTATTTGATGGTTTTGGTGGGAGTTAGTAAATAATAAGGTTGGTCCTGGAAATCTGAATTTTGCCCATTTATCCATAGTCTAATTTATTCAGAACTTCCTTAGTTATATTTTTGTTCTTGGACATTTGGAATATTTCTGAAATCCATCATTGGTTTCTTCATTAACCCTGTGGTCTAACTGAATTTTTAGTTTTGCAAAGCTGAATTGTTGGTGTCAAAAGAAATGGAGCAACAATTGCATTGTTTTAAAACCACACTGTGTTTGTATCGCAACATTTCCTGGCTGTACAGCTGGGCCCCAGGATGCACATATAGCTTTGGGTGGTTAGAATGAACATGGTCTAGAGAAGTAATAGTGAATAAACATTATTTAACTGCTAGAACCTTA